CGCGCATTACTCCCTCAGTTTTTGAGATATCGCTATTAAATTTTGCACACAACTTTTCCCCAACAAAAGCTGCTTGTACAAATATATACACTATACGATATAACTGTCGTACAAACTGATCGATCTAAAGCAAGTGCTTGTATTATAAGAAACTTCTTTATTTAACAAGATATCTTCACGAAATTTGGCATCAATTATTATCAAAGTCAATGATACAATCTCCAAATATATTGTTTAGATCGGACCACTATAGCATATAGCTGCCCTACAAAGTGACCGATCAAAATCAAGTTTTTTGTAAGGCAAACTGTTTTCTTTTTTTTGACGAGATATCTTCACGAAATTTGGCACAGATTTTTTTCCAAAACAACGCTTTAATATCCGAAAAAATTATTTATATCGAAAAACTATAGCATATAGCTGCCATACAAACTCACCGCTCAAAACTCAGACAAAGATATTTGTATACCCTTTTTTGCTGTAAAGTGCACCCGTGAAGTGTACTACTTCAGTGCAGTCGTAGTTAACGTTTATTTTTTTTTTAATTATTTAATATTTTTGGTTAGAAAAAATTCTAATAATAAATTCTAATTTAATCATTTATTAGCAGCAACTACCAGCAACTTTATCCATTTCCACACCCTCAAAACAAATTTCTTTGTAAACTTTAATTAATTTTTTTATTAATTCAAATAACATTTTTTTTTTTGCTCGCCTTCCCCTCACCCACTTATGGTCAACTAAAAACTGTAACCGCATTTCATTCGGCAACAGCTGATATTTTATTTCAATATAGCATGCTATATACAAAATCTGTATGATATTCGCCTCCTCTCTTCCTGTTTGCACTTAGATAAGGTAAATTGCAATTAAAAAGTTAGACATAACCCTTTTGATAGTTGCCTCAGTTTTTCCAGAATTTCATTTCAACAAACTTTATTGCTGTCAGTTTCAAATACAATATGTCCGTAGGTCATTTGCTGTTGGTATTTGTGTTGTGATTTTTGATTTTCTAAATAAACAGGAAAATATTTACTCAACGCTTTATTCATTTCATCATTACTTGTTTGCTTGTGATTTTGGCGCTTAAAAGTTAGGTTTTTTCAATTGCATTCTCGTTTTTTTTTTTTGCAAATACTATAAAATATGTATATAAAAATATGCATATAAAATTTTATTCAGAGTAAATAGCTTGTACCAGAATTCAGACTTTAGTGTGGCTAAAATTTACGGCTCTTAAATAATATTTGCGTCTAAAGGCAGCGAAGACCCTAATATGTGTTTAAATGTTTCAAAAAAAAAATAATTAAACTTCAAACTTTAATAACTTTTGAACGGTTTTTTTAAGTTTTATCTTGAAATGTTTTTTTAAAGAATTCGATTTCTTACGTGTATTAGAAATTTTATAAATTTTTCTCTCCATTAATAAGGAAAAAATAGAAAACTGAAAAGCGTAAGACCTTACTACTAATATTAAAAGCTCATACTTGCAACAAATTTTTTCGAGGTGTCTACCAATCAATTTTTCAGCGTATATATAAATTGAAAAAAAATTAAATCAGTAATTTGTTTTGACACACCCTAATATATGTATATATATATATGTCTATTACCTTTTGACAATGTTTACTTATATGTATGGATAGTTTTCTAAGTAATAAACGAACTAAGTGTGCCCGCCATCTAGTACCATATTTCATTAATACCAGTTGCTCATACTAAGTTGACGAAATTTGATCGAATTCTTGGCAACTTTAAAGGAGAATAATGAAACAGACATTGTAGACAAAATTGATAAAAAGGTGTAGTCAAGCATTTCCAGCAATACCTAATAATTAATTTTACTTCTACCCTACGTCTTTCAGAAAATGTGTAACTCGAAGTTATATTATTTGGATGGTATCTTATATAGCATTAAATAGGTTATAGTTTAGAAAAAAAGAGCTTCCAAGGGCAAGAGTTGAATATGCAGTCAAGCAGTTTAAAATAATAATAATCAAGTCTAAATCTACCGATTACGTAATTGGCTAATTGGCACGCCAGTCAATTATATTACCTAAATCTTTTTGTAGCATATTCTTTATACTTTGCTGTATATTGATGCAACCATAGTGTAGTCTTTTCATCAGCGAGCAACAAAAGAATGCTTAACTCGACTAAAATTCCATTAGGGTGCTAGCTATTGATGACGGCTTAAACTTGGTTCAATCTTAATGCTCTATTTAAAAACTACTTTTTTTTGGCAATTTGCTCTGCCTATCTCTCCAGAAACGAAAAATGAGTGAGGCATTTTTTGACAATTACATATTCCGTAGGCTATGTATATTGGAAATAACTATTGAGCCTAGTCTCTTATGAGTTGAATCACTACGAATTATTTCACTTGGACTACTCGAATGTTGGGCTTTCACAGATTAACAATATATTTATCCAATATCGAATAATATGGAATTAAAAGGGGAGAATATATATATATATATGTATATGTATATATATATATTAGGGTGGAGCAAATAAAAAATTTTTTTTTGCTTAGCCTGAGGGTCAAATTTGTAGATTACAAAAAAAAAAATTTTTTGGAAAAATAAATTTTTTGGAAAAAAAAATTTTTGGAAAAAAAATTTTTTGGAAAATTTTTTTAACATCTAGTTGCGGCGCACTCACTTTTAAAGTAAATTTCGAGTTAAAAGTTTTATTTCGTAAAAATTTTTTGATAAGTGTTCTAGAAGCTGTGGAGAGTCCTCTTTCTATCGAATTAAAAGTTATCAACTAAAAAAATTTTTCGTGGTCATTATTGGAGTTTTAAAAAAAGTCTTAAACGACAGCATGCTTTCCTTAAGCGTTAAAATAAATTTTGAGCCAAAAACCGTCAAACTTGGTAATTTTTAGATAAATGTGAAAGTTTGTGAGTTTAAACCAAAAGAAATGTTTTTTTGTCCAAAAAAAATTTTAATTCGAAATTTACTTTAACAGTGACTGGGCCGCCTCTAGATGCTACAATAAGAAAATAAATATTTTTCCAAAAGTTTTCTATTTTTATTATCTACCATCTATTTTACCCTCAGGCTAAGCAGAAAAAAAAATTTTTTTTGACCCACCCTAATATATATATGTATATAATATAGCTGCTATACAAACTGAGCGATCGAAATAAAGTCCTTGTAAGAGAAACTTTTTTATTTAACAAAATAAATTCACGACCTTTGGGATAGATTGATAGATTATTAATCAAAGCAAGGTTACCTCTGACCATATGGTTCAAATCGGACCACTTTAGCATATAGCTACCATACAAACAACCGATCAAAATCAAGATGAAAATCTTTTTTTACCCTTTTTTGCTATAAGAAATGCACTTGTGAAGGGCATTATTGCTTCGGTGCAGCAGTTAACGTTTGTTTTTTATGTTTTGTTATCACTATCATTTTATACAGTTATAATACTGCGATCGCGCCCTACAGTTATTGAGACAAAGTAAACAAGTGTGTGGCACATTCTCAATTATCATTGTTATTTTTATAAATAATTTTTAATCTTATTTAATTTTTTTATTTTTTTTTGTGTTTCTCATTTTTAGCACTGCTTTGCTTGGTATTAACATTAAATTTCTCTCAAGTAATGTAAGACAAATGCAAAAGCTAAAACATATAATATATGTTCATACATGCATATGTATGTATAATTGTGCTGCACCGCATTTACCTTGCTGCAGAGTGAGTTGCAAGTAAATTAAAGTAGCCGTTTTGGTTGTTGTAAATTGCAACAATTTGCGCGCCGCTCTTTAGCAGTGAAGGTCGAGCGTATTAACGCCTGCAAAGTGTCACTCAGTTATTATTATTATTATTGTATTTTTTTTTTTGCAGAATTTGGGGTATACGTATATACATATGTATGTATGTATATATGAAAAGACATTATATATTCATACAAAAATATTCCTTGTGCGAAACTGTAAACTCATTGTTGCTCTTATGAGCAAATAGCACATTTCTACACACACACATATACATATATACGTATATATACATATACATATATATATATGTATACGGTAGACACGCATTGTCTTGTGTGGGCACCTAACATGTGTTTAGCGCTGCTCACCGTTCGCTACACGCTGCTACCTTTTATAGCGCGCACACCAAGCATTGCAGCAACAATGCCAAACCAAAACAATAAATCAAATCAAAACAAAGCACACACACACACATACACACTCGTGCAGCGCACGAAGAGCGCAATGGTTGCGCATGCGATAACATTTATGCCACTCAATGACGTGAGTAATCTCTTTGCAACGCTCTACTCGTTGCAAAGCGAAAAATGAAAAATTGTTGCAATAAAACTGCAAGCTGCTCGTTAGCGGCGTAGAATGGCTGCAGCGCCTGAAACTATGCTAACGCATGTGAAAAAAGTGCTTGACTGAGCGCGAAGGAGAGCGCCACTGCAATTTTATGTAATACGGATGTGTATATATATACTTGAATATATATATATGTAACTACATTTATATGTATGTGCGTGCGTATATGAGTTCACACTCTCGCCTGCAAGCACAATTTTCGCAAACACCTCGCCATATGAGCACCAAGGCTGCACGCAAACACTCTTCTTTTGCACATACGCGTAGACTCTCTGCGCTACGCTGCCATATTCTGTATATATATATATATGTGTGTGTGTGCTCCGAGTTTTACTGCTGGAGAGTCATACACACTAGCTATGCGCACACTTTACGCTGCTGGTCCAGCCTGCGCGCACTCCCTTAATATATCAATTTTACGACCATATCGTTCTTCGTGCGCCGCTCAGCAGCGGAGCATCAGCCGACCGACAGGCAGACAACAGCAGCCGCAGCACAGTTCACTGCTGGCAAGCACTGGCGAAAGCAGCATTTCATTTTGATTGTCGTGTGCACATCGTTCAAGTCGTCGTTATCGGCAGCGCTGCTGTCACACTGTGTGTGAGTGTATGTGACCAACGGTGTAGTCATCGTCGTTGTCGTTACCGTTGTCTTCTTCGTCAAGCGTCATTGTGTTTGCTGCGTTGTGTCGTGGCAACATCACATTGTGCCGCTGCCATTGCCTGTGCTGTGCTGTGCTGTGCTGCTACTCCTGCTGCCTTTGCATTGTATATTGGGCTGTCAGCTCTCAACGTTGTCAGTGTCAAAAAGATGTTTTAGTCGACAACTGAACGCTTCAACGGAATCATGTCGAATAATTTCAATAGTGTTGCGCTGCCTGTTACCACTACTAACACTACGACAACAACAAATATAACTACTTTTTTCGCAACATCTAAAATTACTACTGCAGCAACAATAACAACAACAAAAGACAGTTTCACTTCACTTGTAAGCGACAGCGCATATTCGACAGCTGCAAAAATAATACAAATATTAGCAACAAAAACAAGAACAGCAGCAGCAATAAAGACAACAAAAACACTAGCAATACTTAAAACAAATGCAGCAGCAGCAAGCGCGTGCAATATTGTAAATTTGCATTAGCTGCTGCCACAAAAACAACAACAAGAAAGTGAAAACGTGTTAGCCCACACATATATATATATATATATATATAATATATAAGTGTGTATGTGTATTTGCTGCCTGCTATTGCAGCTTTTCGTGCTATGCTTTTGACTCGAACGCCTTGCGCCTTTAGTGTTGGCGGGAGTGTCGTCGCTGTTTGTTGGCAGCGTTATCATTAGTGTGACGGCAAGAACATTTGCTAAACGCTGAAGACATTGTGTGTCGGCGCTGACGTACGCAATTGACAACAAATCCAAGTTTAGTCAATCAAAGGGTGCTCAATGAAATTTAAGGTGAAAAGTGTTTATAATTATTTTTTTTTTGTGATTGTTGTGAGTAAATAGAATTGATAAAGTGATAAGGCGCAGAAAGTGTAGGTAAAAAAGTGAGCATTATAAAAATTAAACAAAAAAAATATTTACTTTAAAAGTTAAAAATATAAAATACTAAATTAAAATAATTTAAAAAATATATATAATAATTTAAAATAAAATAATTAATAATAAAATTATTAATCATAAAATCGAGAGAATTGATTTTAATTTTTATTGTTTCTAGTCAAAATATACAATTAAAATCGCAATAAAATATAATTAAAATTATATAAATAAAATATAATAAAAAGTATAAACTCTATAAACTAACTAAAAATATCTATAAAAATTTAGTTAAGCAGAGTAATGCAAAATCGCTTGAGCACAGCAAAAGCGAGCTCGCTGAGCACGTGTGTTGATTAATTTTTTCTTTTCGCTTACAATTTTCTTATCAGAAGAGAGCGCATAAACACTTTTTGTGGCAAATTAACATGTGTTATGGACAGCAAAAACTAACAAAGATAAAATAATAATTAAATTTAAAAAAAATACGTGAACTATAAATTATAATAAAAACTTTAAAAAATCTCAACGAACTGAAACAGCTAACATAAGGATTTTTGAAAGCTTAAACCAACTAAAAACAATGTAACAAATAGTTTTCAATTAATAATTATTAATTAATACAAGTCAATTTAGGTTAGCAAAAGCTAGATTAAAATAAATAAAAAATAAATTATAATTAATAAAAGAAAAATTAACTATAATAAATTAAGAATAATGATAATGTATTTCAACAATTTATCAAAAAAGAAACTAAAATTAAAATAAAGTTAAATTAAATAAATAGAAATTTAAATTAAATTAATAAAATTAAATGAAATTAATAAAAACTAAATAAAATTCATAAAAATTAAATAAAATTAACGCACATAAGTTTAAATGAATGACAATAAATTTAATTTTTAAAAACAAAATAAATTTAAAAAAAAATATTTAAAATTAATTAAAATTAAAAAAAAAATTTAAAATTAATTAAAATTAAAAAAAATATTTAAAATTAAAAAAAAAATTATAACTAATATAACAGCTCCTTGATCAAAAAAGTGTTAGAACCAACAAATATTATAACAATAAAGTAAACAATAATATTGAACTCTCACAAAAGCTGCAGGCTCAAGAGTATACTATTTATAAACAATAAAAATGTCAAAAGAATATATGAAAACGCGCAAGGAAAAAAAATTTTAATGCAAAATTAAATGTGTATACCATTTAAATTACTAAAACACAATATTTAAAGATTTATTAAGTACTTTTAAAACAATTATTAACTTTGAAATCTTAAAAAATATTTTTGAAGTTGAAATAGAAACCCTACAAATTAAAATATTAGCAGAAGTCTTAAGAAAACTTTATATAGTTAAAAAATTAATGAAACAAATGTTTAATCACATATAAACAGAAAAAATACATCAAATCGGAAACGCATGCCAAAAAGAACTGACTACTAACATTAGAAAATGTAACTAGAACAATTAGACACAAAAAAAAATTGTTCTGCTATAAACACAGTAAGAAAGCCGGAAATTACATATGCCATGCAAATAACAATAACAACTATAAGAAAAAACAATAAAAATTGTAGTAGAAGACGCAAATAATTGAGCAACTCCATTTGAAATTTGTTGAAAAATCAAAATAATATAAAAAAACAAAACATTGTATTTATTATGAAAGTAAGGCAATGCTAATAATAATACAAAAATATTAAAATAAAACAAATACAAAACAAAATATTTGCGATTTTTAAGTGTTTCACTAAACCAATTAAGTCAGTAAGAAAATAGAACTTACAAAAGTCATAAATATTAATAATATATAAGCCAAAATTACTTAAATAATAAAGAAATGTAATATATAAAAATAAAAATAAAATAAAACAAATAATAATTTCTATATATAAATTGCAAAAAAATAAAATTTTGAATGCAAAAAATGCTAGTTTTGAAGGCAGCATATCAAATCTTAACTGCAGAACATGCAAAATTGTGTTATAAAACAGCAAATTTTAATTGCCAAAAATACAAAAACAACAAATTTGTATAGAAACTTAAACTTTTTTATAATAAAATTTTATTTAAAATTATAGAAAAAAATTAGAAAAAATAATTTAAAATTTTAAATCATAAAAATCTTTAAATTTGAAAAAAAATAAATTTTAATAAATTATGCTATTATATAATATAATATATAAAATGATAAAAGTTTTAATAACCAATTTTAATTAAAATTATAAATCTTAATTCAAAATTATGTAATTTATTACCTTTAAAAAATAATATATTATATGACAAAATGAATATAAATGAGTAGATTTTGACTTGTAATTTCATTATTTTTAAAATAAACTATAATTAAAAAATTTTTATTTCAAAAATTCACTTAACATCATTTTAAGCGCATTAGCAAAACCTTACATTAAATTAATATTTTAAACCATGCAAGCAAATTTATTTAAAAAGTTAACAAAAATACTCAAACATTTCTATAAATTTAATATACAGACGCAGTCACAGTCGGACATATCAACGCAGCAGATTAACGATGGAAATTAAGCAAATCAAAACACAAAAACCGAAAAACTTTAAGCACAAAAGCTAAATAAATAAATAGCGCTTAGCAACAAAAACAACAAGAGACTATAAATTACAGCAAATAGCTGCTAAATCACTAGACTAAGGCGCTATGCCTATAAATTAAAACAACAACAACAAAAAACCAATTGTATAAAACAAAAAAAAAGAAGGCAGAAGAACAGAATTAAAGCAAAAACAACAAGAATAAAATTACAAATAAAAACAAAAACAAAAACAGTAAAAATACAACTAAAAAGGAAAGCAAAAGCAATAGAAATTAAAATAAAAAGGAGAGGAAAAAAGGCAAAAAAAAAAACAAAAACCACAACAAACAGCACAATCACACATTGCCAGAAGAGCTGTAGTACAGCAGCGCAGCCTTGCCACCCACTTGCAGACCAGGAAATTGTTTACATTGCCCTCATTCATATTTGAGCGTTCACCCGTGTACGTATGTGCGTGCGTATATTTGCTTGAGATTGACACTTTTTGATGACCGTCACTCTGCGAACAGCAACAGCAGCAGCAGCAGCACCAGCAAGAGCAGGAGTGCCGAAACGTCAGCCGGTGTGACCGACTGCGTGACCAGTAACACAGACACGCAAGTAGCAATACCCAGCTGGCCGACACAAACACATACATATGTAGATGCATGTGTGTGTTTTATGGCATGTGAGTGTATGTGTAAGTTAGTGTAGGCCCAACCTACAATACGCCGCAGCACATTTATTCACTTATCCAGTGGAGCGTGCGTTAGCAGAACAACAACAACAACAATAAAAACATTTGCAACAACCACAGTAAAAGCAACCAAATCATTGCAAACACATTCCTTTCCTTGTGCTTCACTTGACTACCCAACACTCCACACACAACGCTAGATAGAGCGTCTCAGCTCTCCGCAGCACATCACTAAAACCAGCCGCCTGACATTTGATTTATTTGACATGTGTGTTTTTGATAGAGGCATAACACGCTAGTGACACGTTCTCGTACAAATTCAAAAGACACAATAAGGCTGACATACAAGCATACACACCAACACACACACATACATATATATATATATATATGCTTAGCTACATATGTACATGCCATCCATCTCTGCCCAACAGCGTCAATAGCCACTTTTATATGGGTGTTTGTGTGTTCGTTGCCAGCGCTAGTGGAGCGTCTAGAATTTGGAAAACTGACAGTAGCTACTAAATAAATCAGCGAATGTCTTAAAACGGCAGCCGAACGCGCACATAAAAGCATTTACACTATTTATTTTTAAAAGCAAATATTTCTTGCATCTTATTTACAACAAAAACAAAAAAGTACCAACAACACCAACAACAATTTTTGGAGCAAATTAATCGCGGTGGCCGTGGACGCTGATAAATCAGTTATACAAAGTATGCGACAAGTGGCAAATGTTTAACACAACAAGAGTCTAGGAAGAGCCTCCCTCGTTTATAAGGGGAAATATCAAAACGCCCGCACGCACGAGCTGAAAGCAAAAAGCAATACAAAAACAAAACTCACAAAAATCAGGTGAACGAGGTCGCAAAAAAGTAATACTTGAATAATAAAAATAAATTTAAAAAATTACAATAATAACAACAACAATAACAAAATTAATTTAACAACAACAAATAGGCCGCTAGCGAAAGCAAATTCGCGTGCATTGTTGTTGTTGTATTAAAAAAAAATATTTTTAAATAAAAAACCATAATAACAACAACAACAACAAATAGACCGCTAACGAAAGCAAATTCGCGTGCATGGTTTTATTAAAAAAAATACAAAACAAAATTAGAAAAAAACAACAATAACTACAACAACAACAAAACTGATAAAAACAAGCACAAAGCTAATAAAACAACAACAACAAATAGGCCGCTAACGAAAGCAAAAATCGCGTGCATTCTCTCCAAGTGGTTTTTGTAAATGTTGTGTTTTTGCTTGTAATTGTGCTTGCTCAGCGCAATTAAATACACTTTTGTCAAGTGTTTGGCTCGCACATTTACTTCGATTTCGCTTAATCGAAAACCGGCAGCTAAGAAATGATGTTGCACGAAGCAGTTATGCTGGAAATTTATAGGCAGGCGCTCACAGCAAGGTGATTATTACATAAAATTTTTGTTAAGAAATTAATTATTTTGTAATTTTCTGGCATTAGGGTGGTCTAATAAGTAAACAGTTTATATTATTTTAATAAAAAACAGTAAAACAACGTTAACTTTAGTTGCACCGAAGCTATAATAATCTTCACAGTTGCATTTCTTAGCGCAAAGCAGTGCATACAAGAAATCTTTCTTGACATTGATCGAGCAGTTTGTATGACAGCTACGTGTTATAGTGTTCCGATTAGAACAATATGTTCGTAGATTGTAGTTTTGCCTTAATTAACAATATGTACCGAATTTGATGAAGTTATGCTGTTAAATTAAAAAGTTTTACATGCAAGTACTTGATTTTGATCGGTCAGTTTGTATGACAGCTATATGCTATAGTAATTCGATTCAAACAATTTAAACGGAAAATATAGCCTTAATTTAGACAATAATCCACACTAAATTTTGTGAATATATCTTGTCAAATAAAAAAGTTTTCCATATAAGAGCTTGATTTGAATCGGTCAGTTTGTATGGCAGCTATATGCTATAGTGGTTCCATCTAAATATTTTGTTTGGTGTTTGTAGCATCTTTTTTGTGTAATACCTTAACCCAAATTTCATGAAGATATCTAGTCAAAAAAAAAAGTTTCCTATACAAAGACATGATTATCTTCGGTCAGTTTGTATGGCAGCTATATGCTACAGTGGTTCCAAATCGGCGATTCCGACAAATGAAAAGCGTTTCTGGAATAAAAGGGCGTGTGCGAAATTTCAGATCAATATCTCAAAAACGGAAGACGTATATATTGTACTATACAGTATATGTAGTCGACAGTTTTAAGGGGGTATTCTGGTCGAGAGGCACGATTTTTAGGTCTTTTTTAAAGTGCTCTATAAAATAGGCAATTAATATTTTTACTATACATTTTTTTATATGTTATTTATTAACCTTTTAAAAGTACAGAAAAAAATTAAAAATTTTTTTTTGTTCGAAATCGCGTTTAAAGTTTTGCCCGCCGTTCGTTTCGTTTGAATGTCGCGCCAGCAAAATGCCTATATCTCCGAAAATAATTCGAATTTTCAAAAATCCTCTCGTAAACACATTCTCGAATAGTTAAACTTTGAAAATATGAAGAAAAAAAAAATTGTTTTTTTCAAATTTCTAGACCAGAATACCCCCTTAATCGCCTCAGCTCATATAACAGGACGCCATTTATATATCTACTTTATAGGATCTCCGCCGTTTCCTTTTGAATGGCAAACCTAATACACCCTGTTCAATTTATGACAAATTTTTAGATGCAATTGGGATTAGACAAAGATAAAGCTCTTGATTTTAAAATTACTGGTCAACAAAACTAATTTATTACTATTACTACTACTTCAAATTAAAAGTTATCAAGATGTAATTGTTTATCAAGAGTGTAGAAACTTATTTATATTGTGTTATATCCACCAAATATTTCTTTTAATTATTTCAGCTAGTCTTTTAATTAAGTCAATTACCTAATTATCTACAAAAATAAACATACAAAATATAGCGAATTGACTAAATTATTTGACTTTCTTATATAATATTGCGGATTGTCACTTAATTTAGTTAATCAACTAATTATCTGCGCAAATAAATATTTCTTACGGATAATTGGCTTTATTAATTGATTTTCTTACATAGTATTACAGATTGTCATTTAATTTAGTCAATTAGATACTTATCTACACAAATGAGTAAAAAAATATGGCTAATTGACTTAATTAATTGACATTCTTACAATATATATGGCTAATTGACTTAATTAATTGACATTCTTACATAATATTACAGATTGTCCCTAAATTGAGTCAATTATCTATACAATTAAGCATAAGAAATCTGACTTATTGACTTGATCAATTGACTTTATTACATAGTAATACTTAGATTATTGGATAGATTTGCAAGTCCTCAAAATATTTCGCATATTCCCCCCAAAAAAGTACAATAGTTTCAAAATGAGTAGTAAATTAGCTAATTATCTAAATATATAAAGGAAAATTTACAAACTAAGTAATAACAAAATAGTGTATCCTTATTTTATTGGAGTTTCAGTTAGCACTTAATTAAGTCAATGACTAAATATACTGCTATTCTCTACTATCTCTAATGAAAGCTAAATATAAGCAGGCTACGAAAGTTAGTTTGAATTTTGTAGCAAAAAAATGGATAAACCCTTCAATTTCGATGCTCAAATAGAGAAATTAATTTGGTGCGTTACTTTTTGCCTATAAAACCTGTCACCGAAACCATGAATGGACTTCATAAACATTTGGGAGACTCTATAACATTAATTTTAAAGGCACTCTTATATGCTTACACCCAAAAAATTTAGCATCAACTTTTAAATGGGTCAGAGCAAGCCGAAAATTGTCAACATAGCGCTTCTTTGGTTTCTCATCGTCATGTTTAAACTGGAAAACCATATTTCCAAAAAATACTTGGGCATGCAATGGTAATCGCAATGGTAATCGGTGCGATGTTTAGCACGATCTTTCACACTCGTTAACAAGCACACAGCAGGTAACTACATGAAACGATAATTTTACGAGATTCAAACGCACTTTGGAACCTGAGTCTTTTTTGATTCTTTTGCGGTAAAAAGCAGTAAAAAGTTACTTTCCAAGAAAAAATTAACTGAGTTCTTAGATAAACCGACATTTTATGAGAAGCAAGATTGCATTTGACAAAAAATAGATATGAACCCATACGATTATACAAGGATGTTCTTTATTCCGAAAATAACAACTTTTCTTAATAATTCGAATGCTTTTGACCATCGTATATATTGAAATATTAAAGATTTCTTATACAACTTTCTATTCTCTTCCAATTTCAGTGAGTTGACCAGCCCGCGTTGCCAATCACGCGAATCGAATGTATCTGCAGCGGCAATGGAGGGACGTTGTCCTTCAAATGGTTCGCATTGCTCCGGCAACGAGCGCTCAACAACACCCGCAACAAGCTCACTACCCAGTACACCGCCCGCCGGTCTACCGCTGCAGGCCACACTAGCACCAGCAGCAGCAGCAGCATTGCTGCCACCACAATCCGCCGCCATGGCTGCCTACTTCAATGCAGCGGCAGCAGCAGCAGCACAACAAAATCACTTACTGCTAACCAATCCGCTAGCAGCCGCCGCGACGCTGGTGCAACAAGCAACACAAGCGCATTCGCCAACAACAAATCGACAGCCGACAACACCCACCTCGCCGCAAACCGATGCAACCAACGATGAGCCAGTATTGGATTTTAGCACCAAACGCCGACGGGTATCCGAGCGTGAGAGTGACTCCGAGGATGACAATGATGAGCGCCATGCTGATTACGGTGGCATTCAGATCGCTGAGACAGCAATGGATGTTAATAGTCCGCTTGATTTGACAGTTGGTGGACGCAAACGTGCCGCAACCGTTGAAGAGCCACCACACATAGCAATGCGTAAGAGCTTACGCACGGCGTTGCCACCGGCCGCCGCCAGCAACTGGGTGCCAACAATCAATCCATATTTAGCCGCAGTGGCCGCGGCCAGCTTATCGCCGCCCAAATCGCCACTCTCGCCGCTCGAATGGAGCGGCAAACACAAACTATTGCCAAATGAAGCTACCAAAGCGTTAGAGAAAATGACTGAAATGACAAGACTTGGCTCGGCTACAGACAGTGCCGAGCTACCGCCGCATCGCCAGCTCAGTGCCAACGGCAACAATAGCAGCGCAAGCAATGCTGGCAACGGTGGACGACATAGTGCGTGGCAGTCGCATTGGCTGAACAAGGGTGCAGATGCCGTGCGCGATGTCTTCAAGTGCGTCTGGTGTAAACAGAGCTTTCCCACGCTCGCCTCGCTGACGGTACACATGAAGGAGACGCAACACTGTGGTGTCAATATGCCTGCCACGGCGTCGGCAACAACTACTGGTATCCCCACCAATGGCAATCAGTCGGCACAATCGACACATCACTTACGTCACACAGCTAATGCTGGCACAACATCGGCTGCCACAACAACAGCAACAACAGCGCATACAACGACGGCCGCCAATAAATCTGATCTCAATTTGTTAATCAAAGAAACGATGCCATTGCCACGCAAACTGGTGCGTGGCCAAGATGTTTGGCTGGGCAAAGGAGCCGAGCAAACGCGCGAGATTCTCAAGTGTATGTGGTGCGGACAGAGTTTTCGCTCGTTAGCCGAAATGACATCGCACATGCAGGAGACGCAACACTACACGAACATAATATCCCAAGAGCAGATCATTTCATGGAAGTCGACGGATGATAAGAACTCGAATGGCAGCAGCGCGACTTCGAATGGTGGCGGCGGCGGTGGCACAACAACAACATCCACATCACCTGTCGTGACAACGCCACCAGCGTCTGTTGGCGGCCAAAATACAACCGCCGCTATGCTCCAGTCCAGTCCCAGCCACAACAACACTAACAACAGCGCATCGGCTACTGTAAGTGCCGTGCTGACATGCAAGGTGTGCGATCAGGCATTCGCCACGCTCAAGGAGCTCAGCAATCACATGATGAAAAATTCACACTACAAGGAGCATATAATGCGTGCTATGGGCGGTGTGGAACATGCCGCAATGACGCCGACCACGACTGCCGGTAATACCAACGCTGGCCGTAGAGGTGGACGACAGCTGCGTGAAAAACGCAAAAAGTCATTGCCAGTGCGTAAACTGCTGGAGCTGGAGCGTGCGCAACAGGATTACAAGCTCAACAGTTTGGATCCGGCATTGAAGCCGTTACGTGACTTTGCCGCCACTACGAAAATTACATGCGAGAAATGTGGTGAAAAGATTGAGACAGCGCTATTTGTCGATCACATACGGCAGTGTCTCGGCGGTATGTTGCTGGTGCCAGCACGCAATCCTAACAGCATCAGCGACAGCTTGAAGTCTACCTTCAATGCCATGGAACAGCTGGCGAGTCCACAAACCCCCACTAGCCGCAGTGATGGACGCAAAACCGCCGATAGCAATATGTCACATGCCTCAGCCACGCGTCCCGAAATACTATGTCCGCTACCGAAGGAGGGTGAAAAGACAAGCACATCTTCCACACCTTCAGTGCTCAATGCCATCGAGCAGCTGATCGAGAAAAGTTTCGACACACGTCCACGTAATAGCAGCAACTACACCGGCAGCGGTAATGGCAGTCAACGCAGCACACCCTTGGGTTCGAGTATTTTGAAGCGACTGGGTATTGACGATAGCGTGGACTACACGAAACCACTGCTAGATCCGCAGACTATGCATTTTATGCGTTCCTACTCCAACTACTCGGCGCGCGATCGCAGCGCTAGCGAATCCAGTTCGATCTCCGAACGTTGTAGCAGTCGTATCGAGTCTTTTACACCCGAACGTAATACCACGCAAGTAACACCACGTCAAACTCCCGAGAAGTTGGTGGCAACAATGGAGCTGAAAGCTGATACTGTTACTATGGAAGACGCAGCCGCCGTTACAATGCACACAGAGTTGTTGAATATTAAATCGGAGCCCACAGAGAACGCAGAAACCATCAATGAGTCACAAGAACGGCCAGCGAGCGAGCAGAAGGACGCTATGAATTTATCAGCCACATCTCCGCAAAAGATTTCCGTTAAGAAGGAGTTCAATATGATCGATCAGCAAGAAGATGAGCGTCAATCGAGTGATGCGCTACACTACAAGCCGCAAGCGCGCACACCCTGCTCGCGCGCTACCAGTCCAAGTGCCAGCGAACGCTCCATCACGCCCAAGTCCACAACATCGTCGGCAGATAAGCGCTTCGGAACTGTGGGTAGCAGCCTCACAGCGCTTTCTTCTATGTTTGATAGCTTAAATAATATGAGCAGCAGCGTGATTAGCGCACAAGCACATACTAACGTAGAGAGCCTCGCTGGCGCAGAAACTAATAATAACAACAATAATAACAATGTGAATAAGAAGTCGAATGCCAATCCGCTCGCTGCGCTGCAAAAACTCTGCGAAACCACTGAGAAGCCATCAATGAAGACGCGCAGCGCCACGACCAATGGCATCAGTCATAATTCGCAGCTAACCGGCAATATGATGGCTTTCAGTTGGGCCTGCAATGATGCGGTGCAGAATACGACCACCGAGTCCATGATCAAGTGTGCGCAATGTGATGCCGTTTTTAGCTCAAAGGGCGCCTATCGTCATCACTTCTCCAAAGTACATTACAGCAAGGAGGATGGTGAGTTAAATGCTTTGGCTAATGCCATCAAATCACCATCATCGCTGGCTTGCTCACCGAAATCGGCTGGTGTTTCGCCGAAGAGCTCGTCGAAGAGTCCAGTGGGCGCGGGTAGCATGAGCGCGCCCATAATTAATCCATACGGTGAGAGTTCACAATCAAAGTTCCTCAAATATACCGAATTGGCAAAGCAATTGTCATCGAAGAATGCATAATGTGACACTTCGCGGCGCTAAGAAGTTTATACATACGAGTTTGTTCGGTAAGTTATCATAATATATAAGCGAATTAAAAGGGGTTAATGATTTTAAAATAATTTTTTGGCAATCTTAGAGTATTATCGATAACCTATAACTTGTAAATATGTATACAAATATTATAACAAAAATTTATGCGAAAAAGTTAAAATATAACATTATAATTACTAGTATATGTAAAGCATTACTTGGCGCTCAACGACTTCACTCCAATCATATATTTTCACATAAAAAAAAATTGAGCATATTAATTGCGATTATCAATTTAATAAAAAAAAGGTTAAAGATGCAATTTTTTTTTTGTTTACAAGTAAGCATTAACTTACTGAAATAAGTTATAAAACATCATGATTTACAAAAAAAAAAATTTGTAAAGTGATTGATTGGTTAATAATTAACAACATATCTGCTTTCGATTTAATTTTTTACCCTAAAAAAATTTCAAAATGGTCTTTTAGTCCTTTTTGTACTACGTCAGTTACATTCGGATTAGGCATAAAATTTAGAACAAGACTTGAACTTCAGCTGCATCTTGAGCACTATTATTATTTTATAACGGTAGTTATATTTACACGAAGCGTAAATAAAGTTAGATATTATCATCATATCGAGTTCATCCTCAACCTAATCTCAGTTAATAATATTTCATACTCGCTGAATAAACTTTATTCATTCCTTAAACCTTAAAGTTTTATGCACCCTAACCTCAAATAGTGCTATCTTTTACCAGTTGAGCAAATATTTTTCATTTCAACCTAAAATTTTTTAACTAAAAGTATTATAAAGAAGTACTTGTTTTCTTAACGAATTTTGCCATATTTCAGCTGATCTTTGCAATATTTTTGAAATTTTTAATTAAAAGTGTCTCAGTGTCTGATTCTTAAAATTTGTGGAATAATTATTTGCTTTCAAGAATTATTTTTGGTAGTTTTTCCCTTATTTTATAAATAATATGAAAATTGAATAATAGACAATTTGAAATTCCTCTTAGCTTACAATTAATTTTTCTCTTCTAATATATATTTATTATCATATACAATTTCTGATTTAAATAATTCAAAAATTTTCTCTTTAAAAAAGCGTTATTAATTTACTTAATATATAACATTTTCTCGTTAAAAAACCGTTATTTTTAATTTACTTAAAATATATTTTTTCTTCAAAAAACTATATATATATATACTATTTCTATCAAGTTTTATATTTTTATAATTATTTTCAATATTAAATCGATATTTAATAATTTCCTAATTTTTTTCTGTTCAAAAAAAATAGTTTTATTATATTTTATTAAATTTTTTCTCATACATATACATATGTATGTATATAAATTCCATATATATATCATGTATAATTTCTGTTTAAAATATTCAGAAATGTTTGCTGTAAAAAGTCACTACGTTTTATTTTCTTAAAAATGTCTTTTTAATTTTTTTTTATAATTATTTTCAATATTAATTTGCTTTTATTTCGTTAATTTTTTTTTTTTAAGTTTTTATTCAATGCATATTTTTTAACACTTTTCCAGTTCATATATTTATTTTAGTCTAAATTTTTTTGTTTAAACAAATTTTTTTCTGTTGAAAAACAATTTTTTTCTGCTCATAAATAATGTTTTTTGAAATCTTTAATTTAATATTTTTTTATAGATTTAAAAGTAGTACATTTTTGCATATTTTTTTATTTTTTATTATTTATTTATATTTTCTTTATTGATATTTCTTTTTTAGTTTAATTCTAATAAATTCTCTGAATTTGTGCCCCTTTACTTTTCTTGCACTTTCAAAATAAATAAATACAAATTTTTTGAAGTTGTCATTTATAATAAAATATCGCAAGTATTAATATTGATTTTATTAGCTAAAACTCGGATATCAAAGAATTAACTTTGCTCCGAATCTGTAAAGTTGCTGTTTATTTACTTTATGTCAATTTTAATTTTAGGTTTATGTTAATATTAATTTTAATTTAACTCCAATTTTACTTTTAATTTTAATTTATTTTAATTTTAATTTTAGTTTTAATTTTAATTATAATTATAAATTTAATACTAGTTTTAATTTAATTCCAATTTTAATTTTAATTCCAATTTTTGTTTTTATTTAAATTTTATATATTATTATTTTAGATATTATTTTAATTTAATTTTTTGAGTTTATTATGTTCCATTTTTTTTTTTTCATAGAATATTTCATGCCGCTATAACAGCAAATACCCGAACTTTTAAGTGAAATATGTAAATTAATATTTTTTCCAAACATACCAGTAAGTCTATCGGTCCGGTAAAATAGGAATAAGTCCAAAAATCTAAAAATAAATTCCGCCCCACCTGTTTTCGGAGCTTCGCTTTAAGCTTTGTCGCTGATTTTTCATTTTTCGCACACCAAAAAAAAAATTTTCTTTTCCTTTTATCGCAATTTCAACAATTATCGTAATTTGCAAAATGGTTACCTGAAGCAATTTCGTACCAGCAAAATTCTAAGCAATAACAACCACAATTTTGAATCGCGTAAAACCGACGGTAAAATTGCAACACCACTGAGTCAACACATGCTTATGTTGCAAGTATGTAAATTATGCATTTTAGTGCATACATACACACATACATACATATTCACCGTCTTCCGAGTATAACAAATAATACCGGTATTACGTCGTGCTGGTTAATAAGATAATGACTTAGCTGCTCGATCATATGACACATAATTACACACATAAAGAATTGCGCTGATAATATTACAATTTCCCTTGCTACATATATGTGTAAATATGTACCGCTATAGAAATACACATGCATGTACATAAATCTATGTTAAAAAACTAGACCTGTGGGAAAAGAATTTAACACGCCAACCCCACCGCTAGCGACACATAGCGAAGTCGTAGTTAAATATTAAGAAATTGATTTGCGATCACATGCGATGAAGCCGCTACAACAACACATCATACACCCACAACAACATAAACAAGGTCGCTAAACAGCGCCAATACAAATTGACAGCGGCCAAATAGCGGAGAAACCGTCAACAAAAACAGCAGAGAGTTAGTATACGCTCTTGACAACAATGCGAGAAAGAGTTGAGCATAGCAAGAAATGCTCTTACAAGTGTAAGAGCATAGAATTGAACTCTTAAAATCTGCTTCGAAAATATACTCTTAATACGCTTAAATAACAGATGATTTTTAAAGAGTTTGAAACAAGAGTAACACTCATTATTTTAAAAGAGCGCACAACCATTATCTTCATAAGCTCTTAACAAATCAGTCAACCAAAGAGCTGCAAAAAATCTGCTCTCAATAGCACCTTACTCAAATAAAATAAAAAATATTAAATAATCACTATTTATTCGAGCGCAATACATACACCAGCCATCCCTTTCTACTCAACACCATTGTTGTTGCATTGAACGACAGCAGTTCATCACTTTCGCGCAATGCATTCGCTTCGCTTTGTCATGCGCTTGCCAAGCGCATACGGAGCCGCTACTCTCAGCGGGATGGCCCATAGGAAGTGCATCAAAATTCAATTGATATGCACCGCCACCGTTGGCTCAACACACTCGCACACACACACACACACACACTTATAAGCTACCATTCGGTGCTGTCAGCATCAGCGCTGCCGTGTATTATGTCCAAGTTTGATGAAATGTTGTCCGTCAAGCTCACAGCACGCGTGTGCAAGTGAGATGTCGATACGAAGTGGCAACACGAACGATTGTCAGCCATTACTGTCACACTTGTTGGTCATTTAGAAATAAAAACAAACAACAAAGCAAATGTAGTGGTCCTTATAAATTTGGTTTTGTATTTTATTTATTTCTAAACTTTTATTATGAGGCGGGGTGAAAAAGTGAGCGCTTCGCAAAAACCAGTATTTTCTTAAAGGCATTGAACGTGGTTGAGCAAAAGCTTTGAGCGGAAGTGTGTGAGCGGTCGAAATGAGTGAGTACGATATTTGAGTGCTGCTCAAAGCCAATATTCGAAATAAATGGCGTGCAGTAGCCATAATTTCGCACATGCTTACGTTATTTAATGCTTGTACTTCGTTCGATATGCAATAACGCTATTGGTTTTTTGAATAATATATACCTATTAATATTAAAAAAAATATAAATATTTCAATAATATTACAGTATTTAAATTAAATCAAATTTTCATACAAAAGTATTGAAAACATATTTTTTTTTTAATATCTTCGAAACTGAGTAGACCGTTGCAAAATAAGAATGATCAGCTGCTGTCAAACTATTCTCTTATCCACTGTACATCTAAAAGTTTTATTAAGGGTTTGGACCAGTCGAGAAGTTTAAAAGAATTGATTTTTAGCTTTAAATACACTTTAAGGTTATTAAGCGCAATATGCCCCTTCAAGTCAGAAAAAAAGCGTTGTTTACGATATTTTTTTTTTTGTGTTTTTTGAAGAGGCATTTGTTAGCAAATAAACATTTACAGAATTTAATGCATTTTAATTATCGTTAATTCATATTGAAAAATGTCTGATTTTCTTGATTCCCTAGCCGATCTCCAGGAGAACTACCCTAAAGAAGTAACTGACGGTGACGACATTTTTTCTGCTAAAAAAATTAGCTCAAATTCAAATACCAAAAGAAATGTATTACTACTATACATGAATACAGTTAATGCTTGAAGTCTAGTTTAAATTTTGACGGCTTCCCAAAAGTCAAAAGCTTCTTGGCGATTCTGTTAAAAAATGTACACTTCAATGTAGCTTAAAAAATCGAAATGATTACCAAAAAACCTTCATTACTACCTTCCAAACTAATTTATGGATTAACATCACATATCCGAAGAATATTCTCAAATACATATTCTCAATATTCTGAAGAATATTCTCAAGTACATGTATACGTACATTCGTTGAATAATCAAAACAAAAAATCGATTTTTTTAAAATTCGCAAGTGGTTATAACCGCTTAAAATATTATTCAATTCAATAGAACAGACAACAAATTTTTCTTGTCCAATGTAATGACGAAGCTCTAGACGGGCCCAACCCCTTAAGGAAGCTTAAAAAAGGCATTACTTAAATAGAATTGACCTTGACAATTTCTCAATGGCTACGAATAATAAATTTCGAGTACTATATATTTGGAAACTGTTCTAGAAATTGAGTAGGTTAACTGTGTTCAGAGAAAGTATCTTTAATAAACAAAAATGCATCTTGGATTGTAGAGAAAAAAGACTTAGGTCGAGTTACATAAAAAATTAAGTATTGAGTTGTCTATTAATATATTTAAGTATCTTAAGAAGCTTAAATAAAAATAATAAAAATATATACTAAGCATATATTGTTATTACCGCATTTCCAATGATTGCTTACATCATCAAATTGATATATTCGGCTGGAGATCTTTTTCAAAAACTTTGTAAGCAGCTATTCTTCTCTATCATTAACTAATTGCCAGGTGATCGAGATGTCAAAATTGAGGTACAAACTAAACATATTTCGAGTAATACAAAAAATATCGTCAAATTGTCAGAAAATGTTTTACAAATAATTTGTTGTTAATTTAATTATTTAATTTGCATTTATTCATTTAATAAAAGAATTTCTCATATTTTAAAAATTGCATCTTTCTTCTTTATAAACAAACTTATCTATTAGATATATGTATGTATGTACATATTCACAAAAATAATTTTTTTTTTAACAAAAACAAAAACCTAACATAAAATATTTAAAAAGAAAACTGTCACCCACATACCTAACTCAAACATGTATACGATTTTTATCCAAACTCATTATTAAATATTTAATAACTACAAAAACAAA